GGCCAAAGCTCCCTGTGAATGCTCACAAGGTCACCCGCCGTGTTTGCGTAGCAGGGAGAGGGCCCCATTCCCATGTTTGCTCTCTCCTCTGGTGCAAGGGGTTGCTTAGCCTCCCCCCTCCTAATAAAACCGGAGCGGGGGGACTTGGGGGTATCCGCAGAGGCTTTTATTCGCTGCTGGCGCCTCGGTGTTCTGCCCCATGGTGCAGTAAGCCTTTACTTTTGCCCGCACTGACAGCACTTCTAGCCTGTCTTTACAGAAGACTTGTCAGAATACCTTTTACAACTGATAGTTGTTTCTTGTCATGAAGCCGTGCTACTATTGGTTGTGATTTTTAAATTATTATTGTTATCTATATTAATTACACTTTGATGCAGTAGAAAGAGATTGAGGGGGTCTTACTGGAGCGTGTCTTACCGCATCAACAGCATGAGGAGTCGGTATTACTTTTAACTTTTGGTGCCTTCTGCAGGTATCAGCTATATGCAGCTACCTTGGCAGCTGTTGGCATTATTAAGCTAATTAACTCCTTTTTTTTTTTTTCCATAGTCAGGTACAGAGTATTCCCCTTTCATGAAGGGGGAGTAATTCTTAAAGAAAAGAAAAAAGGGAGGCAATGGTTTAGAATTGCGTCTCCTCGCTGCCCGCTGCAGAAAGCTGATGCGGATGTGGGCTCCTGAAAGTATGTTGAGGCATTTGTGTTGCAGATAGGGTGGTAACAAATATTGGCCTTCGCTCCTTTCCCAATATGTAATTTATGATTTCTTAATAGTTTTTGGATCTGGATTAGAATTTATCGTGTGAGATTAAAGGATTTACGAACTGGCTTTTCTCTTCCTCCTTATTTTGCTGGGATCCTGAGCCGTCCTCTCCCTCAGATGCCTCAAAACCAAAGAAGCAAGAGCGCTCTGTGTAATCCCCCTAAGGTGGTACAGGCTGTATAAGCTCTTCTTAACATTTAAGTGTGCTCTTTCAGGGGTTTGCTTCATGCTGTTTTCTCTAGAGAATGCTCCATCTCCGTGCTGAGACTCTTGCCTTCTGAAAATGGCTTCTCCTTGCCATTCTCAGAAAGATTCTTGTTGCTTATTTCTTTGGTGTTCATCTGGTCTTATATGAACTTGATCAGGCCTCAGTGACCTCCTAAAAGTAGTTTCGCCACGGTTATTGCATGAAGCAGATTTTAAAGGCAAGACTTCTTTCCCTTGTTTCCATCCCCTTGTTCCTCTGGGTTTTTTCTTATTGCTGAGTCAAACCCGAAGGGGGTTGTTTTTTTGTAGACCCGACCACCTTGTTGATGGACTTGAGGTGAAGGATCTGCTTCTGGTTATCATTGTTCCAAAGTCGAGCCTCTAGACTCAGACTACTGCAGAAAAAGCACACGTACCCTTTTTTATTTTTATAAAATTATTATAAAATCCACACACCCTTTTTTATTTTTTTTTTTTTAATAAAACCTCACAATATTTGAGGGTTTCTTCAAAATGTACTTAATTCTCCTTGTCCGCTAAACTCAACCAGACAAACAAGCTTGGTCAGTGTGGGGGGGTTTTTTTGTTTCTTTTCTTTTTTTTTACTCCTGACCTAGGCTAGCCTGGATACCTGGTTGTGCTGCTGGGTTTCCCAGTTTTTCAGGGGAATGCTGACACGGTGTGTTTGTACTCCATCCCCACCCACAAATAATTGGCACAAGTGGTAAACACTGGCTTGAGTGCTGCGTAAGAGCATCCCCGAAGCCCATTTTGGGAAGATGGTTGAACACGGCGTGTCTGTTTGAGCAAGGTGAGGGCAGTTGAAGACAGAGCGGCCTCTGACTAAGATGCCAATTAAAAACTGGATATTCTCCTTCCCCCTGGAGAGGCGTGGAGGCTACTGAAAGTGTGCTTCCTCTTCAGATATCTGTGGGATTCGTTTTCTTTGGATGGGTGACAGAGCACGGTCCTGACCTACCTGGAGTTTGTTTTTTTTCTTTTGGTACCCAGATGAACATTGTTTGCAAATCTATGTACAATGGGAGAGTTGAGTGTTGTGGTTTCACGTGCTTTTGTAGGTTCTCTCTATTTCAGAGACTTGCTCGTGAGGGAGGGAAGGAGGATTAGTTCAGTCCTTGGCAAGCAATTTCAGTTTTTATTAAGTAGGTACCTGATCCTGGCAGAGCTCATCTTCCCTCTGCACAGGGATAAGCGATGTGAAATGCACTGGACAGGTTGTTGGCGTGCGTGTGTTTTGTGACCCTGCACTTGTTTCCTGCCCTTCTCTCCCCCCACAGCTGAATTAAACTGGGATTTTAGGCTTGCAGCTAGGCAGAAGCTTCATCTGGGTACTCTTAATAAGATACATGCCTGCCAGTCAAGGGGATAGTAAATACAGGCTGGCAGCTGATGCCTCAGCACCCTCCCTCGCTCCTTCTCGTCCCGTCTGTGCTCGTACCAGCAGGACGCCGCACCCGGTACGACCACCCGGCTGCCAGGAGGAGAGGCCGGCCCCGCTGTCTGGAGCGGGAGCTCGTCTCGGCACAGGCTGCCGAGCGAGTCACGAGGCCGTTTGGACGCTGCGCTTACGTTCTGGAGAGGCTGGAGCAGGTGAGCTGTGCTGGAAGCAGCTGAGTGCCAGAGCGGAGAGAAAGGCACATTAGATGCGCCAAAATAGCTCTGTCAGAGCAGGCAGTTGGCCTACTGGGTTTCAGCAGCAGTACTTGACAGTGAGGTGAGTATAATGTATATGCCTTCGTGGGGGTAGTAGCTGCACCCCATAATCTTCTGTAGAGGAGCGGGGAGACTCCAGCATTAATTTGTTTTGAGGACCATTAAATTTGGGGTGATGCTCCTAGAGAGCATCGCTGCTTGTTAGTGTTCGTGCAAACTGCTCGTTCTGCTTTTTGTTAATGAAAAAACGTGGCTGTTTATCTCAACAGGTGGAGAGTTGTGATGTTCTCTCATCCTCATCCATCCTTTTCTCTTTTTCCCTAGGTCTGTTTGGAGCCAAATCCCGTCTATGCGTGTGTCATTTTGTGTCTTTTAATACGCTGCCCTGACTTGCTTGCTGCGAAGGGAGTATGCATCTGGAGATCAAAGTTGCTCTTAACTTCATCATCTCATACCTGTACAACAAGCTTCCTCGGAGGCGGGCGGACCTGTTTGGTGAGGAGCTAGAGCGCCTGCTGAAGAAGAAATATGAGGGTCACTGGTACCCAGAGAAGCCTCTGAAGGGATCTGGCTATCGCTGTGTTCATATAGGGCAGACGGTGGATCCGGTGGTGGAGCTGGCGGCCAAGCGGAGCGGGCTGGCTGTGGAGGATGTGCGTGCCAACGTGCCGGAAGAGCTGAGCGTCTGGATCGATCCTTTTGAGGTTTCCTACCAGATTGGCGAGAAGGGCTCTGTTAAGGTCCTCTACCTGGATGACAGTGAGGGCTGCAGCGCCATGGAGCTGGACAAAGAAATCAAGAGCAGCTTCAACCCCGATGCCCAGGTGTTTGTCCCCATCGGGAGCCAGGACAACTCCCTGTCCAATTCTCCGTCCCCCTCCTTTGGCCAGTCTCCC